CAACGAATGGTAAACTATTGTACGATAGAAAACGTAGAAATAATTTTGGTCCTTGCCGCAACGCATTTTTTCGTATTAGATTTTTGCAAAACTGTGTCTTCGTATATGTTAACGGCATATAGCACCGACTACGCCGCTAGTGCAAATGATCACCGCACAATTGGATGATTAATCAAATGATAAGCACATGACGCCCAGCAGGCTTATAAGCTTGATTCCTGCTTAAACTCGATGCTTCCCTTACCCAAGCTGCAACTCAAGATAGGTCCTCTATATTACACTTGCAACACCTATCCATACCATCGCATTCGCTAATGACGTGCAATCTGTGGCACTGCGCAGGTTACTAGGACGAATGATGACCACTCCACCGGACGATTAACAAGGTGGTATGAGAAGATAACCCCCAACCTTATAAATATAAATATAGTCCATGCTGAACTTCCTTCGATCGACGGTTCGCTCACCCATTCAATATCGCAAGATCGGGTTGACAAATGCATGAACGTATAACACCCGCTCATTTTTTGCATATACCAAACCTGGCTACACCTTTGCACCGGTCTAAGACATAGATGCACCGAGCATGCCGCTAGGTAGAATGATGACCGTGGTCTCTCGTTTTTTCACGCTTAAAAAGATGGCGCCCGTCAGGTGTATAGACATCCCCTGTTCAACTCCCTGAAACTGACGAATTACTTACTCTATCAACAACACAAGATAATATATAGGACACGCACAAAGAACACACACGTAGGCATCAAACCTGCACCAAACCTCGACTAAGCTATTGATGAACTAGGATGCTGCTTAGGTTGCTTAGGAGCCGTCTCCAGTACCATATAACCTACTAAACACGCACCCAAATAACAGAAATATAGAGTGGAAAATCAACATAGCCCCTTACACATAACCATGAATATGCCTCCGACTGCTGCTATTTCCCCCCCCCCTTTAGGTTAATTCATAAATTTGTTACGGTTATCTCCTTATCTATAAGTAATCAGCAGAACATATTCATGACAATTCTTTTGTAGGGATAGACATCCCCGTTGCTATCTTCGTACAAACATTACCTTCCTCGACAGTTTCGGTTGTAAAATGAAAATTAGGTCATCCTCAATAAGATGAACGATCTTAGCGAACTCCGTACACTTCAACAGTTTTCAAGACAGTAACAAGGCCTAGTATCAACCTCACAAAATATACTATATATGGCATTGATTTTTTTAAAAAAGGAAGCGTAAGATAGTGGTTACTGGCTAGTTCTTTTAATATATAACCACAACAACTCTTCTACCTATAAATCCCCACATGTATAATGGTCAATTTATCATTCACCGTAAAAAACGCACAAAGACTAAAAATTTGCCCTCCGCGACACACCGCACACACATACTGATAAAATACACCCAGATCTATCCACTCACCTAAGCATATGTACATCTGAATCAATTTCACCACGCACACTTGCACTACACGCACATGCACCATATGTCGTGATTTCCTTCAATCAACCTAAACATATAGGGATGGGTTGTACACAATGAGAATGGCATTACGCATCTGAGCCACATGCGACATAATTATTTTGCCATGATCATCACAAAAAACTGTATACCGCCATCAGCCTTAGACAAAACCAGACCATCATAACATGTCCACTATGTGTTGATCAAAGTACAACGCCTACTCGTCTCCTCCCCTTACACATGCGTGTACTGAACCGTTAACAAACAAGATGAACCAATGCGTGATTATTTCTCAGTAGATCTTTAAGGGTGACAATAAGAACGGACTTACCTCCCCCAACTCAAATGATCAAACTCACGTATGTATCCCACAACCACACGCTGCATTAGAAATCGGCTAACCAACCCGTCGTCAAAAAAATCTTAACCAACCTGATTGGTCCCCTGCACTCCCCACTGATCGCTAAGATTACCACACAGAATGCGCACAAGCATACGAAAAAATTCGCACTCCACCCCTATCACCATGATTGATCACTCAAAATAACGCCTGAACGCTTACACTCTTAATTTCTTCCACGAAAGAAAAGCTAAGTAAGCCCTCAGTCGTATATATCTATGAAACCCGAATGATCAAAAAATCATATATCAGACACCGACGAGAACGTCTACGTCCTGAACTTACAATGCAAAAAACACTGTAAGAAACCCTACAGGTTTGCTTACTGATAACCCTCATACTCCTTAATCTCCCCTCACAACTCCTGTCGCGATAAAGGGTCGCCAATGACCACACCCCAACCTACCGTTGGAACAATGAAACCTTGATGTTCAACCCCAATCGAAGTCACCAAAGCCTTGAGGATGCACAGCAATAGATCCCTGCCATCTTCAGGTAGCCCAACAGGGATCACTTCACCATAATGACGCAAATAGAAACGAAGAGAGACTAAACATCCCTTAAGGTAAGAAAAACCAACTCCCACACGAAGAACCATATGCCCATTCACATTAACATCATACGAGCTTGTCATACTACGACCCTCCGGTGATGATCCCCATGACTCCATATTAACGGGAGCATCGCGCAGATATAATCGCTCCAGAATCACGATCGTATCACTACCCACGACGCCATGATACGCTACTAAGTACTCCATCCCTTATGCACCTTGCTCTCTACTAACGTCTGAAAATCTTGCAAGAAGAAACACAATTGTGATCCTTCTTTATAACACACACTTCTCTTAACACACACCATACGTCCGCGCAAACTATAAAGATCGCAGAAGAAAGTATCCTCCCTCCTGCCTGGCTCCTCCACCGATAGATACCGACGTGGTCTCCGAACAATGACACAACGTTGCGCTACTCAGAACGCGAACACCCGTAAAACCCGCATGCCTGACAATACCTCACTCCCTCTTATATAACATCCATGAGCAATCTTGCGTATGCAAGGACCGATTTTTTCAGTCCCAACAAATTTGCTAAACAAAACACCAAATCCCACCTATCCTTGCTAGATAACAAACCCTATCCATAAGGCGAAAATGTCCCAGCAAAACAAAAACACTAAAACAGAAAATAAAAACACACAGGCTTTTTAAAAAAAAAAACTCACACAAACCACAGACCCCACCTGTATCGACCGCTGGTAACACTGTTTTCATATGTCTTGATAAAACGCTGTAAAACACCACACAGATTCTTGAAGAAGCAGAAATAAATAATTTAATTTAATGATCTAACTCCTTCCGGCTACAGAAATAGCAATCTGCTTTATTATATTTATTTTTTCAAAAGAACACCTGTGGACACGGTCACTGAACCTGACTAACACCCCACAAAGATACTAGATCGCAGGTTCATTATTATGCACTATATTTATAGCTATATACATATATATATATATATATATACAGGGTCACCAGCCCGTACGTACGGAGGTCCCCGGGCAGACCTCCGTACGTACGGGCGTTCGGGGTCCCGTACGGGGTTCGAACCCGACAGCATTTGGCCCCCGCCGAAAATTATTTCGGGGCCTAACGATACTTATTTTTTTCCGATTTGTTTTTCGTGAGTTCTCCTTGACGTGAGGTACATGCCTGTAAATGTTCAAGTCATTTGGCTAATCAAAATAAGAATTACAAATCGCCAAAGATGGCGGTGTCAAAACGTGCTCACCCGCGTATTTTTTCACTTTTTACTTTTTGTTTTCACTTTAGATCGGGGTCTAAACAATTTTATTATTTTTTTAAACTTTTTGAGTGGTTTTTGCATTATGTGAAGTACACATCTGTAAAATTTCAGGGCATTTACCTATGCCAAAAAAAAATAAAAAATCGCCAAAGATGGCGGTGTCGAAAACATGCTCGCGCACTCACTAAATTTAATTCTCTTTTTATTTTTATTTATTTATTTTATTAGTATTTGTTTTCCGTATTTTATTTTTATTTCAAATCCGGTAAGGAATTCGGATGTGATGCTTAGGCAAATCTTGTGTAATTTATTTTTCTCCATAGCATATATGTTTTCAGAGTTTTTTTATGACTTGTTTTTTTTTTTTTTTTTTTTTTTTGGGTGTGCGTTCGGCCCGAGCGGCCGAACGCATCCCCAAGGGGTCCCATACGTTCGGGCGTTTCACCCGTCCCGAATGCCGGTTACCCTTTATATATATCGTCACAAACAGAACAGCCCGGTAAACCACAGGCAGAGAATTATATATATATTTAAAATTAAAAAATTAAAAAAAAATAAAAAAATAAATAAAAAATAAAAATAAAAATAAAAAATAAAATAAAAAACAAAAAATAGAAAGTAAATAATTAAAAATTAAAAATTAAAAACCTAAACAGATAATAATAATTTTTAACTAATAAATGGTAAGAAGATTTGCAAAATGACATAAAAACATAAAAGCAACAAGTATGCGGTAAAATACGGGTAATGCCGCATGATAACCTTACACAACCCCCCGCCTTGTAAATAGAAAATATACCATTATGAAAATAAATCAAACCATTTAAGAATAAACAGACCATGCTCCAAATCAATAATAACAAAACAAACAGGAACCACATTCCACGTACTAAGCTCACCACACACACACACACACCCCTCCGTTATGCATTCACGCACTCAGAACTGCACATGATTATTAACCTGTTTTCCAAAAAAACTATGTCCATGACAGTTAACCGACCTACCGAAATTAATGTCCGGAACGTTACAATACTAATCTCTCTCTAAAAAAACCCCCACCAGGCACACGGTAACATAAAGATATATATAGCACGGCCTCTCAAAGTACACACATCACGAACACACACACCTCCACCCCTTCTTGCCTAATCAGATCCAGTTGCAAGGATCCCGATACCAATAGGTTGCTTACACATATAAAACCAAACTAATAATCGGAGATGCATGTACGACAGTCTAACTTCATGTGCAAGTTGAGGATTGCATCAACTAAACACGCCACTATGCAACTAACCCTGATTACATACCGATACATGTGCAGGATGAAGACAGCATGATCATGGGATGGCACCCGGAGCTTGCTGCCGCCATCAGACCCTTCTCAACACTGCAGCCGCCCATAGTACACTGCCAGATCGCCATGCTTGGGATCCCTGCAGATGTCTTACTGCAGGCGTATGAAGCTACGCTGGGACAGACTCCCTTCCTGATCGAAAACCTCTCCTTCAGCGATTGGGCTTCGCTTGTCCACGTCATGCAGAGCAAACCACAGGAGCTAGACACCAAAATTCAAGACTTCGCTAGTAATATTACTGGATCCTGCAGAAAGGCAGCTATCGAGAATAGAGAACTTAACCTTATCATAGCCAAGGCTGAGAAGATCATCCTGGAGTTGCACGGATATGACTCTTCACACCTTGATTCCGCAGGGCAAGTTTCCACCCCTGAAAGAACAGAAACGTTCAGCGAGACGTACATCAGTCGTATGTCGCTCTCGCAAGTAGAGCTGGAGTACTTCAGGAAGAAGGAGGCCGAGCGAAGGAGCAATGCACACACTGAGCTTACACCGCTCACAAGAGACACAGGGCATAAGTTCGCTAAGAACAGCCCCTTCCCACCACTCAAATCCAACACCTGGACAGAGAAGGCTGTGCAGCACGTCCATAACCGACTGTGGAAGCTTGACACCTTTAACTACACAACGCTTATCAGCGTAGAGGCATACATGGCGCTTGCTCGAATCACAGACGCAGAGGTAGATAACTGTCGCAGTGCTGCTAGGAATGGTACTATCTACTTCCCAGCAACCAGAGGCGGTTTTGACGCAGAGTTTCCACCGATTGCCAAGCTCGAGAAGAGCAAATGCCCAAACAGGCCGCTCCTTCATCAAAAAGGCATCCCGAAGTTCCCCGCACACGTCTCCGAACTCAAGAAGCTTTGGAACGCAGTGAGACCATATCCGAAGTGTGCATGCCCCGGATGTGAGAAAAACTTCATGTGGTTCGACCACATGATCTGGTATATTATCGGCAACCTAAACAAGATCGACCCACTTGCCCCATCAGACAAGATCAGGATGCTTGAATTCCAAGCACTCCTTCGCACGTCATGGAGAAAGGTGATTCTTGCGCAGATCTCCTTCATCTTCATGAGAGAATACATGATCAAGATTGTGAACCTTTTCACACAGAACAGAAGGATCTCTGCAGAGGAGATACTAGAGTATGAGGATATCAGAAACGTGTCATTCGTACACAAGTTCACTGCTGTGTTACTCCCCAGCGGCGAAGGTTTACTGTCGCAAAGAGCAAATGCAGGGCGCAATGCAAATGTTGAAGACAATTCCCCGGCACCGAATCACAACACAACACCCGCAGGCTTAAATGCCACAGCAAATACAGTTCTCCACGTAACACATAACACCGGAAACAGCACAACCCTCAATGCGAACTGCAACACTACAGCCGCACCACAACGACACGTTCATGTTGCTAACGCAGGAACCTTGAACAGGCCAACCATAGAAAGCTTCGCTCAAGTACAGACATCTAGTAACGCCCTTGCCAACGCTGCTGCACAGCTTGCCACACGACAAGCGAACACAACCCCCACTGGCAATGCCTCCCTCGCAAATGCCCTCACTACCGCGCTGCCTGCAATATGACGGATCAACGCAACGGGAAGTACCTACACACTGCTCGTGAACAACCCAACCGCACCGCACACAACACACATTGGAGCTAACACTCAACCAGGGTTCACAATGTCACTCCCACCACACCTTACCTCATACATGAACAACCGCAATAGCACAACCTGCACTTACAGCGAAAGACAGGCTCGCTGGCGAGAACTGCTCCTTAGTATAGCCATGAATCCCCTCCCAACAGAAGTAAAAAGGAACCGCAGAAGAGGTAACAAAACGCAAAGAATCCAGACAGCATAGGAAGGGGTGCTAAACAAAAGACAGACAAGGAGGAAGAAGGCGCAGTATGATGGAAGATAGTCAGACATCCATGAAGTTTTCATGGCGCAACAACAACGGCAACTGACGCTCGCAGCTCACCAGCAGTCACCAGCTCAGGAAGCGTCTGGAACAATGACGGTCCAGGCACAGACAGGTCCTCCGGCGCTCCCAAGAATTGACAAGGAATGGACGCCACGCGCAGACATGATCCTTGCACAATGGACGCTGAGGAACAAAGTTGCGACAATGCCCTCCTCGGAACAGCAGGACGCAACAGACCATGAGGTTATCCAAGTTAGCAGTTGCGATATCAATGACGGAGAGAGAAGACAACTCCCCATCACAATCAGCTCACCATCACCAGACACTCCGATCCGCCCAATCTCCGCCATCAACGCTATGAGAATGAACTATGGAGCCAGCAGCGCGGAGTCTTCTCTGCTCCGAACGAACAGCGGAAACATGACACAGATGAACGAGTCACAATCATCGGATGGGTCCTGGAAGCAAGTATGTCAGAGGCTCAGCCCAGAGTACCGGTACAACTTTCCTAGTGTCACTAGAAGCTAGCTCAATAGGAAACTGCAGCAGACTGAAGAACAAAGACTGTTCTGGTAGGCCGCATAGGCTGTTTACCTATGGACAGATAAATCCTAGCACACCGACTGACTAGTTACCTGAAGACAGATAAAGCCTGCATAGGCTGGTTACCTATAGGCAGGTATATGTTGACTAAGTTAATTTCTACAATAAATATTTAGTTGGTTACCTTTAAATCCTGCATAGGCTCTTTACCTATAGCCGGATAACGCCTGCATAGGCTGATTACCCATAGGCTGGGATATATTGATTAATTTAATTTTTACAATAAATGATAAGCCAAGCCGGCTGATGCTGCCGGGATAACTCCGGGTAGATTTGTCAGGGGTCCCCGACCTCATCTTTCGGATATTTTTTGAAAAAAACACGATGACTTCTACTGATAACTCCTGCGTAACGGCTCTTGCAATAGCACACCCCCTCTGTCATCCCCCCAAAAAACATTAGTTTACAAGCCCCCCGCCACACAAGCAACTACGCATGCAGAAACCCGGCAAACCCAAATAATGCTATAAGAAACAATCACCGCATAATATGAAGATATCCCCTGTCCTAATAATAACACTAAAATCCAACCTTGAAGGTACGAACACAACTAGCTCCATAATACTTGAAGTAAACCACTAAGATCTATGAACTTTGTTTATATAAAGGAGGTGAAAAACTTACTCCTACGACCCCGAAAAATGACATTGTTACCCACTTGAAATACTAAAATGAACGACTACACATATAACCCTTCGGTTGTAACACCCAACACCGCTTCCCCCATTGCCTCCGTTTAGGCACCCAGACCCGTAATATTATACCCCATAGAAAGGCGCAGCCTACACTAAACCCGAGTCCCTCTTCCCCGCCGCTGTTAAAGACTAAACAAATACAATACACGAAAATGTTGTAAGACTAAAACTGTTACCCATCTAATATCGGGCTCAAGCCGTAACATTAACCCACTACCTCACATACTAGTGACACTGTGCAGTTTCCTGGAACCTCCGAACTCAATGATTTGATTCCCTGATTTACAGAATATAGAACTGCATAGGATTCCCACACAATAATGATGCTCACACATGCCCTTAACCTGTCATACAGCCTGATACACAGACTGGTTGAATGAAGTCTTCCCCCCACCACTCACAACTGTAAATAAATAATGAAGACAGAAAAGCAAAGAATCGCAATTACCCCTCCGAAACACCTGCCCCGCTGGTATGTATGGCTGAATGTTGCAAATGCATTTCCCACACCACATTCTTCCTTCAAAAATCCAAACTCAAATTGCCAACATGTCTGTTAAATGTGCAGGAACATCGACTTCAGCCAATGGAAGACGGAAGACTCGGATGGAGATCGAAAAAAGAATCAGACAAACAGATCATCTCCTGCCACTACGCAAACCTACTGATGGATCGAATTAAATTTAAAAAACATTCTTAAAAAAATACTACTTAACTATAACCAGGATGTCGTTTGTGTCCTAGAGAAGTTTACGATCGCATGAACATATAACGATCATATAGCCAAGGCACTCTACAAACCAGCTGCAGTGTTTCGGGATTTTGAGCTATCAACATGGATAGAGAAAATCCCAGAAAGGTGTTACTGCCAACAACTAAGATATAAAGAATTTTTAAACGTCCTACCAACAGACATGCTTCCCAAAGAAGAACCACCTCACGTCACTACACTAGACCTCAACATCTGCAACAATGCTGAGCTACGAAACATGATGAAAAAATGACTCGACCACATCCCACCTGCTCCTCTAAATAAAGATGATGCAGCAGCTACTGCAGACCATGTATGGACACAGCTCGCTTTATCCCTCCTAAAAAATGGTACACCCCTAAACAGTCTACAAGAGGAACAGGCAAAAGCGGAATTTGATAAAATAATCAAAGGCAATCTCGAAAACGTAACAACACACAGAGTAACGAAATTAAACGATCACAGAATCAAAAATGAAATTACCTTTCTAACCAAACACTTCTACATATCCGGGGATGACAAAGCTCCCAACACCCCGGTCGTCTCTTGCATCAACCTGGTACGATTCCTTGCACTGCAAAGACTCACCGGCCCAAACTTTGAACAACACACGATATCTTCTGCCAAACTACTAGACATCATGAAACTGCAGCTGGGAATAAGGTTCCCAGACATCCCCATAGCGAAAATGGAGATACCTTATCTATTTGCTACATATAAAAAACACAAAAATTTCTTCCGCTGGCTAACTAACGCAGCAGATGACATTACCACACCCCTGGTCGATCTAACAGTCGCTGTCCTTGCTGCCCTGATCCGAATGGTGAAAACCCACTATGGCACACTAACACAAAAGACACATACAAAAACTGGTCTCAAAGTCACATTCTAGTGGCCCATAGACTCAACTCCAGACTACACGTACAACCTACCCCAGCAAGTCTTCTCAGTCCTCTCTGCTGACATAACTAGATGTTACGAAACTATCCCTATTGACGGGAGCCAAGACGGCCTTCCAGCCGCAATCCAGTTATTTTGCAAACAAGCCTTCAAGCAAGAAAGAAAATCATACGGTAAAAATGTGCAGCTTCCTGCAGAATGTACCAAAGCAAAGGAAAATGGACACTGCTCTGCGACTGGTATACAAACCCACCTAACCGATTCCTAACCATCAATGAAAACATTGTACAGGAAATTAACAACTGGGTACTCAATCATGCCTACACATCCCTAGGAGGAAACATCTGGAGATAGATACTTGGTATCCCTATGGGCGTAAGCTGTTCATCAGTATAGTGCAACATATATTTTTTCAAATATGAATACAATTTTATGAAAAAAATGACACACAAGAACAACAGAAGCCTACTACACCTGTTTCAACACGTTTTTCGTTACTTTGACGACTTCCATATTTTAAACAACCCCAGGATTCACGAATTCCTAAACCCTGAAGTTACCAGCCCACGTAGCAAATACTTCCTTTACCCTCTACACCTAATAACATTGAACGAACAGACCACGCAAAAAACACCGATGAACGACAAGCTCATTAAACACAAGCAAATTTCCTAAACACCACAATAACTATCACAAATCGGGAAATTGGTCAATACATCACAAACAAATATGACAAAAGAAAAGAGTTGGGATTTCCCATTACACGCTTTATCCAGACAAACTCTAACAGACCTCTCCAACAATCACTAAACCTTCTTATACCGCAGATGATCACAATTATGACCATTGAAATGGAACCACAGCACGCTGCAAAGGAGATCATGCTAGCTATCCAAACTCTTCAGAAGAATGGTTTCAGAAAACAGAGATTACTCGGAATTGCAAGCAAAGTCCTAAATAACCCCATGAACTACCAACCTTTTCGATGCAACCCCCAGACAATACAGCAGTACTTAAAAAATCAAAATCCCAACACGAACTATTAAAAACTTGAAAAAGAAAAAACAAAAACTAAAGAGCAACATAATCAACCATATGTTTCAGAAAACATACCGTGTGTATAAGCCAACAAAACTGGCAAGGTTCGGATGAAGGACCTACCCCTGTTGGGGCAGGTCCAACATCCTTGGACCTACCCCACGAGGACCTTCATCACGAAAGATACGGGGACGGGCACACACACACATACACACACAAAAACACATATATAAAATAAAATTTAAAAGAATAAAAGCTGACAAAAAATAAAATAAATAAATAAATAAATAAACAAAAAAAAACAAAAAAATAAAAAAATAATAAATAAATAAATAATAAATAATAAATAAATAATAAGGTAACAAACAAAATATTAAACATATAATAAAATAATAAAAATTACATTAAAAAATAAAAAATAATAAAAAACAATAATAGATAAAATTAAAAAATAAACGCATATACTGCAGTTCTTAAAAAAATCAAAATCCCAACACGAACTATTAAACACTTGAATAAGAAAAAACAAAAACTAAAGAGCAACATAATCAACCATATGTTTCAGAAGACATACCATGTGTGTAAGCCAACAAAACTGGCAAGGTTCGGACGAAGGACCTACCCCTGTTGGGATAGGTCCAACATCCTTGGACCTACCCCACCAGGACCTTCATCACGAAGGGTACGGGGAAAGACACACACACACACACACACAAACACATATACAATTTTCCCTTTTCTTTAATTACAGAAAATTAAAATTTAAAAGAATAAAAGCTGATTAATAATGAATAAAAAATAATAATAAATAAATAAATAAATAAATAAATAAATAAATAAATAATAAAATAACAAACAAAATAATAAATAGGTAATAAAATTGTAAATAATAATAATAATAATAATAATAATAATAATAATAATAATAAAAATAATAATA